CACACACAGACACACACACACATATATATATATATATATATATATATATATATATATATATATATATATATATATATATAGCGCCTGACAGAAACGCTGAAGGATATGTATAGCCACAATGAGATAGTTGATCGTCGTCTGCGTAATCGCAGAACATTTTCCTTTAAGTCGGCATCCTGTGATCTCAGGAACATACGCAACCTTGCTGTATTGTTATGTATCTCCACGGCCGTGATATAGCGTCCGTGACCCGCAATAACACGACTGGGTGCACATCCCCAGCAGGTGGCTAGGAGACACAACCATCTCTCACAGGCATGCAGCTGCGAAAAAGCGTTGGCAGATACCAATATAAAAAGCGCTTCTCCCCAGTTGTCATTACAGCATGCTTTCATTTTGTGACTTTGGTAAGGCACACGTGAACATGCAATATGCTTCAAACTTAAGAAAAAGGAGGGTTTCGATAACGAAACTGAATGCATACGAAATCATACAAATCCTACGTAAACTGCAGACGTAAATATGAGCCATTCTGGCAACATTCGTCTGCCATGTCAAAAGAGGTATTCAACCGAGATCGATTCTAGTATACCGTAGGTCGGAATTTGGGACAGCTTTGACTCTCACTCGGTGCTCCATTTCTTTGATGCGTGGATCGTGCGTGTTCTTAAACGTTACAAATGGGCTAATTACCCACGCTCTTACTCTACTGTTATTCCAGCGCATAAAAAGGCCGTCTGGGAGCAATGCGAACGGCGCATGCCACCGCTCCATTTATAAAACGTACATGCGGTAACTGGCCCGTGAAACCTTAACATGCACACGAGTAGCTTGTTTGGTGAGCTGCACAATTGAGCGATTCGAAGCACCATGTCAGTCGAACACTGATTCTCCCCATACAAAAGTGTAAATGCGAGAAAGAATGCATCATTGCGGCTTCAGCATTGCAAGCTTGCAGCTTGCGGCAGACATCCAATGTTCCACACATTCTCCATGTATAGTGTTCTAATTGGCTGGACGAGGAAACAAACACTTTTTGCGCGTTTTAATCACATATTTTCCGTAAATGGTCAACTCAAGTAAACAAAGATGCGTTAAATACACACTTAAATTAGATTGGATCTTCAAAAACAGGTAGCACTATGTAGCTTCTCGGGCTGTACACAGCTTTTCAACCTAAAAATTTTGAGATTTCTTCTTTCCCGGTCAAAATAGCACTGCTGGCTTTACCACCCTGAATCAGCAGCACCAGCAAGGCGTATTTGCCTTCCATAAGGTCCATGCTAACCGGAAAACCTTACAGAACAATTATGCAGCAAGAATAAAAATTATTTCCCGGTCAAAATGGCGCTGATGATTTTACCACCCTGAGTCGGAAGCACCAGCAGGGCGTACTTGCCTCCCATCGGGTCCGCGCCAAGGAGAAAACTTTACAAAAAAATCGCACAACAAGGATAAAAATGTTAAAAACAACAATGGCGAACATGCCAGAAGCGTATGACGTAACTGTAGACGTATTATACGGAAAAAGTACGGGCTCCATGGGAGCCTTGGGAAACCACTGGCACACAGTTTGTGTTACGGGTTTACGTTTGGGAAGTTCCAGTCTGGATCATCCTTGGTAACGTCTTTACAACGTCATACTATCAAGTGCAGTGGACAGTTTCTGGATTTGGAGCCTCTTTCATGAGTTTATGCTGATACCTACGAGGTGCGTTTTATGCCATTTTGTTCAACGTTTTGGTCATCCTAGTGGCCAATTTGCCATCCTTATGCTTCCTGCATGAGACCCTGCAAAATCGACTACCGCAAACTCTCTTCATGGAAACATATTCTATGTGAACAGGAGATCCAAATTAGTTTAGCTGCTCCTTGCGCAACTTTCAGAACTTCTTACAAAAAAGACGGCGGCCGCCGCCCCCCTGAATGTTGCTTCAGCTTTTTTTTCTCTCGATGACATGGAGGCTCATGCGATACCAATTTTAATGGGTTTCTATGACAGACAGGCCATTTCTGCAGTTGTTTGTAATGTATGGGGTCAAATCAAGGTCAGGTTAATGTCCAAAGGTCAAACTTGATCGGGAATCACCAAAATCCCCTGTATTGATCGATATATATATATATATATATTTATATATATATATATATATATATATATATATATATATATCGTTTGTTGCCTTTTCGTACCCATTGTAAGGGTGCCACTCACATAAGCCGCATGCTACATAACTATACTAACATAACTACGCTATAACTATATCAGCATGTACTACATACACAACACATGCACTATAGAAGACGCTTTTCACTTGGATGGGTGTGTGTAGTCGAGTTGCCATCATTATGCTTCCTATATGGGACCTTGCAATCTAAACCGCCGTGATTTTTTACGGACATTTTCTGTGTAACTAGCTTTATGTAGCTAGGAGAGCCAAATTGACATAGTTGCTACTTGCGCAGCTTTAGGCACTTCCCATAATTCAAGATGGCGGCCGCTGCCATCTTGAATATTTTTGTCCAGCTTCAAAATTTCAACTCAACTACTTGGAGGGCTGTGGTAGAGTGATAGCGCTTATGCCCAGCGGGGTGATTGATCTGTATTCTGTCGACGCTCAATGCCATGTCCTAATATGCATGCCCGATAGGTCACACTTATTTTCTGCACAATGCTATTTGCATCGGAAAAATCTTCCCACTGCAGAGCAAAGCTGCCACACAAAATAACATATCTGATAGCATGCTTCAGTTACTCCCGTCCACTATGACTTTTGAATCACGTTATTATCACGTCACACTATCTTTCTGCAAACGCGCATAACGAGCGATGCAATCTGGGCGGTGACCAGCACCCCTGTCACACCAAAAGCGTACCTCGTTTTTGTCACCGGGCCCGAGCACTCCATACGGAATTTGGGACTGTTGCTGTCCTGTCGAACCGGTGCAACTAAGTGTTCGTAAATCTTTGCCTCTCTTTTAGGCAAGCTTTGTTCTTGCATCAAATGTGGACGGAGGCGGCGTTCCGATGCTTGAATACCCGTTTTGACGGGGACCTCCACCACCTGTGTGACAGTTCTGGAGAGCAGTGACCGTTAGTTCGAGAGTCCGAGCGTCTCTTGCACCGCTGCGCCGCGTGATGCCCAGCACGGCTTGTGCCTCCACCGAGCCTCACCCGTCTGGGCACGCCCGTCGACACGGCAGACCCACGGCTGCTCCACGGCATCCGCCACAGGGCGGCAGTGTACACGGCAGACCCACGGCTGCTCCACGGCATCCGCTTCAGGGCGGCAGTGTACACGGCAGACCCACGGCTGCTCCACGGCATCCGCCTCAGGGCGGCAGTGTACACGGCAGACCCACGGCTGCTCCACGGCATCCGCTTCAGGGCGGCAGTGTACACGGCAGACCCACGGCTGCTCCACGGCATCCGCCTCAAGGCGGCAATCGACATGGCAGACCCACGGCTGCTCCACGGCATCCGCCTCAGGGCGGCGGTCGAGACGGCAGACCCACGGCTGCTCCACGACATCCGCCTCAGGGCGGCAGTCGACACGGCAGACCCACGGCTGCTCCACGGCATCCGCCTCAGGGCGGCAGTGTACACGGCAGACCCACGGCTGCTCCACGGCATCCGCCTCAGGGCGGCAGTCGACACGGCAGACCCACGGCTGCTCCACGGCATCCGCCTCAGGGCGGCAGTGTACACGGCAGACCCACGGCTGCTCCACGGCATCAGCCTCAGGGCGGCGGTCGAGACGGCAGACCCACGGCTGCTCCACGACATCCGCCTCAGGGCGGCAGTCGACACGGCAGACCCACGGCTGCTCCACGGCATCCGCCTCAGGGCGGCAGTGTACACGGCAGACCCACGGCTGCTCCACGGCATCCGCCTCAGGGCGGCAGTGTACACGGCAGACCCACGGCTGCTCCACGACATCCGCCTCAGGGCAGCAGTGTACACGGCAGACCCACGGCTGCTCCACGGCATCCGCCTCAGGGCGGCAGTCGACACGGAAGGCCCCGTGGCCGCCGGCCGACGGAGGAATGTGTCAAGAATGTGACCTCGTCTCGGGGCTGACGACTTCTTTGTTTGCGGCCGTCGGGGTCAAAGTGCGGACCGCATGATAACGATCGTGGGCGTCTTACCCAGATTGGTATGGAGTGGCTTTCAAGCCCATCAGCACTGGAGAAATTTCGAACGTGGCTGCTCCGTGAGGCAGCGTGACAAAAGCAGTTATCAATCTTGAAGTGAAATGCTTTGATTATGGAGGAACACCATTGCCGTGCAATACCATTGCGAAACAAGTTGTGAGATATTTGTATATTGTGTGATCGGGCATATAAAGAAAGGTATTCGCAAAACATGGATCCATGCGTAGCGACAGATGCTAAACAACATACAAACATTCTTAAAGCCTGAGGATGATGCATTTGATATAAGTTACTTCAAATAAAGCGCTTGTTGAACTCACAAATCAGGTAGCATGTTGCATCACTCAGTGATGAATACTTGTTCGACCAGTTGACATAAAACCGTGCTAGACAGTAAATATCACTCTCCGCTGTCTTTGAGTCGCCTCTGATCCAAACAGAAGCTCCCAAGAGCACTCACGACAATTCCAACTGAACTCAGAACGTAAGATGAGCCTGACGGGGTCGTACCATAAAGACGGGCCTCCATTATCATGCACTGCACCTAGCGAACGTGTCTTTCATTAGCAAGATATGCCAATTGCTCCAGTTAACATGTGAACAGGCCCCATGAGCCAAACATTCCATCCATAAAGCAATGCAAAACACATGCACCGGACATAACGGACGTCACACATGTACCCGTTTAAATAACTTCCATCACACGACCTCTTCACAGAGACGGCATCTCCAGTAGCACACGGCGAGCAGACCGCCCGCGGGGTGCTCCCAGGGAGTCCCCAGCGCGCCAGTCACTGCCGTGACACACAGCCTCACTGGACCTCGCTACAGGTCACCACCACCCCACGTCACACCTGGTGGACGGGCCCGTCGTCCACTTCCGAGCTCTCCACGGACACGACCGTGACGCCGGTCGTGCCCGATGAGCCCGACCGGTCTGAGTCCAGCGACGAATCCCTGATGAAGGTAGGGTGACCGAACATGTTGAAGCGCGTGCGTGGGTGGGTCAGCCGCGCGCCGCCACCGCGCCCTTTCGCGGCGCCGCTCGGCGGGTTCTCCGCCAGGTGCGCGCGCGCTCGCGCGTGCGCCACGCGCACGCGGTGCGAGCCGTGCACGCGCGCGCCGCGTACGAACATCTTGCGCACCTCCGCCTGCATCGCGCGCGCGCGCAGGCTGTAGAGGAACGGCGCCAGCGCCGCGTTGCTCACCACGAAGATGAGACTAACGTGCGTGTAGACGGAGGGTAGCGGCTGCGTGGTGGACACGCGCACCAGCTCGATCGCGAAGAACGGCACGTAGCAGCACGCGAAGAGCACCACCACCAGCACGGACACCTTGGCGGCGCGCGCCTCCTCGCTGTTCCACAAGGTGCCGGCGTTCGACAGCGTCTGACGGATGTTGGCCACGATCGGTAGCCGCGGCGTCGGCGACGGCGGTGCCGACGGCAGCGCCTCCAGCTGGTCCGCCGAGGGCACCGGCGGCAGCGCCGGCGGCTGGCCGCAGCTGCGCGCGCGGGCGCTGCTCTTACGCGCGGCGCGCGCAATGCACAGGTAGATCCAACCGAGAAGCAGCAGCGGCAGCAGAAACACCACTCCCGTCTGCGCGACAACCACCAGCTGGCGCTGGCTGGTCCACGAGCGGTTGTCGCGGAACTCGTCGCTTTGGTCGTGCGGGTCGGAGGGAGGCGCGCGCGGCAGGCACACGGCCCAGCCGCGAGTGCGCAGCTCACCCACGGTGGAGGCGGCGGCCGAGGCCAGGCTGGCCGTCCAGCCCACGGCGGCCAGCAGCGCCGCCCGTCCCGGCGTCATCAGCGCGTGGTAGCGCAGCGGCTCCTCGATGGCGCAGAACTTGTCGACGGCGATGATGACGGTAGCGATAACGGAGGAAGTGATGACGAACATGGCGACGGCGTCCATCGGCCGGCAAACATTCTCGTGCAGAAGCTGCGGGCTGGCCGTGTCGATGACGACTAGCGGCAGGAGCACCGACACCGACAGCAGATTCGTGACGCTCAGGCTGCAGATCAGTCTGAAACGACGCGGGGTTTCGTCACGTACTGCAGCCGACGCGGGAAGCGGGCTTGTGATGCTTGGGATGCAGCTGGGCTCGCAGGTGCGGGTGAGCACGAACACGAACTCGTCACGCCCTGGAACAGGCGTGGTCCGCTCACGGTCGGGAACAGTTATGAGGTCACCACGCACGGAAAACAGACGCCGGATCGTCACGGACGGAAACGGACACAGCCTCGTCACACACGGGAGCATATATGAACTCGTCACACACGGAAACAGACGTGGGTTATTCCCACCGGGTGGGGAAGAAGAAAGAGGCAAGGAAAGTTGAGTCATTGTACCCCTGGCGGCAGCTTTGCAGTGTCGCATTTCGAGTGGACCGAACGAGTGGATGTGTTCGACAACACTAATGCATCATGCAGTAAGAGCACTAGGGGATTACAAGCCGGTCTGACGACATAAAGAATCGATAAAAATAGATTTGCACTGGTCACGTCTTCTGCTGAGGGGCTGCCTTGTCCTAGGACAGAACCGCTCATCAGCTACGCATACTTTCCTGTGAGGTACTGCAATAACGGACTGTGCCCCATGTGCATCGAACATAGCGGAACGTAATCACACGTGCCGAGCTTCAGCGCGCTGGCCATGCGTGACTCGGCTCTGCTTTGCACAAAGACGCACAAATATACCCAGTTTTCGATGTTAGAGTGTCATACGCATCCGCTTTATGCCCATCCAAAATTACCATGAGACTGCATGCTTCCGGCATAGATAACAATACGTGGTTTAGATGCACAAAAAAACGACAAATCAGTTGAGTCAGTGACGTAATTTTGAAAACGCACCTCCCTTTGTGCTGGTCAGTACTCCCATATACACAGATTGACAAATCTGCAGCCAGCACGGAAAAGGGAAGCCTGTCATTTCCAGCCGCAGGGCCAGGTGAACGGCACGGCATGTGAACCGACCATAGCAACGTATTCAAATTAACGAGATCAGGCCATGTACGGCTCCATACATTCATCGGAGCGCCCTCTTTGAGTATGCAGGCGCCGCCACTTGTTGTCTCTATGAGCCGTGCATGTCTCACTGTCAGAATACTTGCACATGCTCCAGGGCAGCGGGCGCGAGTCCCCGGAGCCGGCGTCACCGGGGGGGGGGGGGGGGGGGGGGGGGAGGGGCGGTCGAGCGCGGCTGCGCTGGCGGCACGCACTGGTGCGTCACGACCGCTTGCAGCACCCGGTCGGACCACAGCGCCACCCTTCGCACGCGCTCCGCTCACTCAGCACGCTCCGCGCGCTCCGCCGACTCACCGGGCCTGCCCACCCTGGGCGTTCTATGCACTCCGCTCGCGGTACGCGATCCGCAGCACTCGCTCGTAGTGCCCCACCTACTCTGCATGGCCTTTCTCATTCATCCATTCGTCAGCGCTTTTCGCCGGTTCCGAGCGCTCTCTCCCACTGACCCACTCCACGCTCTGCGTCCACTTCGCTCACCCCACCATTCCAGGCGTGCCTGACCCCAGGGAGCGGCGCGGGACGAGCTGTGACCTCGACGGCCGATCGCCGGACATGGGTGACCCCCGCCGACGGCTCTTAATGCCAGTGTTTGTCAACGTCTTTATCATGCGTTTGGGTTGCGTGCTAATTTGCCGCTGGTTTAGCTGGTCCTGCAGCGGTGCAAATCGCGCGCCTGGTGTCCGATTGTACCCGCTGGCAAGAGTCAAACCTTCCATGCATTCATTTGGAGGAGGCTTGAGCCCCCCCCCCTACAATCCAAGCTTAATTAATGAGCGTTCAGCATGGCTCTGCGGCTGGTCAGGAGTTGGGCCACAGAGTTTTTGTTAAGGAGTTTTTTTCTGCGTAACGCCATGACGTGATATCAATATCTCAGAGTTGGAGGGTCTGTTCACCCCTCCCGTGCAGTAAACCCCATGGAAATTGATTGCCCTTAAATCGAGACGTGCTGCCCAACGGCGTGGCTAACTTCCACGTCTGGTCGAGGGTCGCGCAGCATCTGGCGGCTGCAGGCTGGCTGTCCTCGAAGCCCAGCGCTTCAGCGCCGCGCGAACGGCCGCCTGCAGACAGAATGCCGGCGAGGCCAAACGCCAAATGCCACCTGGTCCGGTGACGGCATCCAAGGGACGCGCCGATGCATTAAACATGCTCGCCGCGAGCGACGGTGCCGTGGTCCGGCGACCAGACCAGACCAGACCAGACCAGCCGGCCGGCGCGACTCACACGTGGGCGGCGGCCGGCTCCGGGGCCGGGCATGGCGTGATGGACCCGGCGACATGCCAGCCACCTGCGCCGCTCCCGGGCGGGGATCAGCCGCAGGCCGGTGACGTCACAGGGCCGTGACGTCATAGGGCGGACAGCGGCGGCGCTCTACCGACGCCCACTGTCGTTGCTCTGCACGACAGCCCACTGCCGAGGCTTTCTAAAAATATCGCTGCTGAACCAGGTCTCGAAATTTGGGGTTGAAATATTTTCACGCAGCACCGCGTACGTTACGTGCAGGCCTATACAGTTGGAAGGATTTAGGCCCCCGCGGAAAAGACAGCCATACCGAGCCATCGTCGCCGCCTCTACCCAGTGTCGGTCGCGTGTCGCAGTGCGGGCGCACCTGCCGACCGGCCGTGTCGAGTTACGACCTCTGGCGGGGACGGGTCCAGGCGCGAGGTCACGCTCGCTGTCCCACTCGCCGAGACGGCACACAGCTGGCCAAAGGTAAACAAGTCCTGGGCTGAGCAGTGGGCACCGGCGCCGCAGGTGCGATGTGCGCCCCACCAGCGACGACTGCCAGCGCGCCATAGGCGCCGATCCGTGTCGTCTTGCGTCAAACTGTCTAAATATGGCTGGCCGCCTTCGTCAGAATCAAGCATTCCTGTCTGTTTCGTTGATTGCATGGGCCTGGTCCGCACAATGCATCGATGCAGAGAGCAACGCCGCAAGTGCCGCTGAGACAAGGCCGACAGTACAAAGGACGTGCTCCGCCGTGCTTCTATATCGAGCAGTCCCGAGTGCAGGTCCTTCCCAGTGCACGGCGCGGTGGATGCTGTCTTTCCCAGCCCACGGCGCGGTGGATGCTGTCTTTCCCAGCCCACGGCGCGGTGGATGCTGTCTTTCCCAGCCCACGGCGCGGTGGACGCTGTCTTTCCCAGCCCACGGCGCGGTGGATGTTGTCTTTCCCAGCCCACGGCGCGGTGGATGCTGTCTTTCCCAGCCCACGGCGCGGTGAATGCTGTCTTTCCCAGCCCACGGCGCGGTGAATGCTGTCTTTCCCAGCCCACGGCGCGGTGAATGCTGTCTTTCCCAGTCCACGGCGCGGTGGATGCTGTCTTTCCCAGCCCACGGCGCGGTGGATGCTGTCTTTCCCAGCCCACGGCGCGGTGAATGCTGTCTTTCCTAGCCCACGGCGCGGTGGATGCTGTCTTTCCCAGCTCACGGCGCTGCTGTCTTTCCCAGCCCACGGCGCGGTGGATGCTGACTTTCCCAGCCCACGGCGCGGTGAATGCCGTCTTTCCCAGCCCGTGGCGTGCCGCCTGCCGTCTCCACGGAGAACTGACGCCGCCGGAGCCGGCCGGACCGCCGCAAACAAACTTGTCCGGGTTTCTCCGCAGCAGCGGTCGTTACTTTCAGTTTGGCGGTCTGCTGGCGGGCTGGAGCTCCGTGCGTGCCGATCGTCGAGCTGGGACCACCGGCCAGGCAAGAGGCGGGCGCCGAGCTGGGGCCACCGGCCAGGCAAGAGGTGGGCACCGAGCTGGGGCCACCGGCCAGGCAAGAGGCGGGCACCGAGCTGGGGCCACCGGCCAGGCAAGAGGCGGGCACCGAGCTGGGGCCACCGGCCAGGCGAGAGGCGGGCGCCGAGTTGGAACCACCGGCCAGGAGAGAGGCGACCGTCGAGCTGGGACCACCGGCCGGCCGAGAGGCGGTAGCTCCACCGGCCGGGCGAGAGGCGAGCGCTGAGCTGGGACCACCGGCCAGGCGAGAGGCGGCCGTCGAGCTGGGACCACCGGCCGGCCGAGAGGCGGCAGCTCCACCGGCCGGGCGAGAGGCGAGCGCTGAGCTGGGACTATCGGCCGGGCGGGAGGCGGCCGCCGAGCTGGGACCATCGGCCGGGCGAGAGGTGAGCGCCGACGCGGCGGCGTCTGGGAGCGGTGCAGGCTGGGTCGGGTCAGGACGCTGCTGGAGGCTCAGACATTCAGGAGAGCCGCGCTGAGCTGAGCAGAATACGAGCAACATTCCGTAGGAAGATGAAGGCTGCAACCAACGGAGAATCTGCAGAATGCGGTGGGTCACACGGAAGCTGTGTCGATCTGTGTACTGTGGATTGGGCTGTTGAAAATTAGCTGCGAGGAAAGCTTCCGATTTCTAGGACTTGGCAGCGCTGTGATACGCGTTGAGCCATAAACCGTGACGTCGCCTACCCAACAACGCATTAATTACGTGGCGTGGAGAGCCTGAAAGCTTTGGCTCTGACAGCCAGGCTGATCCCTGCAGTGAAAGGTGCTTCGTCCGATGCACTTCACGGTGTACTTCGAACATTACAAGCCTTGAGATCTCGAATTGAACAGGCTCCACCACTTCCAGCCTGATCACAGTAAGTGGCTAACCTTCACTTTTCGTTGAACACGACATGAAGTGAGTGTTCTTCGACGTGACCGGCGGTCCTCCACGATCGATCACCTCCCGGTACGATCCGTCTCGACCGCTTACAAAACCACCTGGTGTCCGCGAGACTCTGGCGCGAGTCCAAACCGCCGGCACTTCTGTCAGCTGCACTACAGTCGACGTCCCGTCACTTTGAACCCTCCACGTATCTAGCACCGATCGCGGACAACGAAGGCTCGGCCGGTTCGACGCCAGGCACCTGAAGTACCGTTTCTAGGCTATAGCTCTACAGCGTGTCTCGGCTTATCTCACTCCGCCTGCCTGGCGGGGATGGCGGCTGGCTGCCGACTGGGGCGGCTCCAGTCGAGTCGGATCGCACCGAAAGGCATGCTGGGTCGGTTCGGTTCGGTTCGTTTCGGTTCGGTTCGGTTTGGTTTGGTTCAGTTCGGTTCGGTTCAGTTCGGTTTGATTCGGTTTGGTTCTGTTTGGGTCGGGTCGAGTCGGGTCGGGACGGGTCGGGTCAGGATTATTTGAATCGAGTCGAGTCGAGTCACGTCGGCCCATGACTCGAGCCGCTCCCTCAGCCGATAAAGCCGGAAACAGGCGGCGAATACAACTCTCCGAAAACGGCCCACGCCCCACAAGGTCAAAGGACAGGCGGACAACATCAGACTAGTGCTATCGGCGATGGCGACAGCGACACGAGTGCTGACGTCGCCAGTAGGAGGAGGGTTGCGGAAGTCGCATCAAACGCTGCCAATTCTAAACCAACAGCGGCCTCTGTGAGTGGCGTCAAGAGGCCTGAAAGAAGCGCGGCCCACGCGGAGCGCCACAGGTTACCACCGGTGCCACCGTCCCGCCCAAATCCTTCCTGAACTCGGCCCGATCTCATCTGATGGCCTCCCGAGGACGCACGCAACCCCGACGACACCCCCTACCCCATCCGGGATCCAGCAGCAGTCCAGCAGTCCGACGCACGCGTCGTCCAGCCTTCCGATGATCATATCACGCGCCCTTGTCATCCAGCGCCCACTCATTCAGTAGGTGGATTTATTAGCGCGATGAACGTGCTGCATAAATCCGCGGATTGACTCGATGTATGCAGATGTACGTCGGCGCAGGCGGTGGCCGCCGATGGCGGGCCTGATTCTCACCGCCGCAGCGGCTCCGTTGTGCGTCAGCACCGGCGGTGGCCGCCGATGGCGGGCCTGATTCTCAGCGTCTTACCGCCGTTCGTCGGCGCCAGCGGTGGCCGCCGATGGCGGGCCTGATTTTCACCGCCGCAGCGGCTCCGTTGTGCGTCAGCACCGGCGATGGCCGCCGATGGCGGACCTGATTCTCAGCGTCCCACCGCCGCAGCGACCCTACCGTTCGTCGGCACCGGCGATGGCCGCCGATGGCGGGCCTGCGTCTCACCACCGTAGCGGTCCGGAATGCTATGATGTGGCGTCAGCGATGATGTAAGGTTAACTCGGAATGACTCCGGCCCGAGTCGAGTCGCCGTTTTCGGAAGGCTGAGGTCAGTGAGCGTAACAAGCTGTAGCCCAGTGCGGTCCCGACGGTTGGAGACAAGGGTGGCGGGAAGACACAGAGCGCCTGGCACGGCACGGGTTCTGGTCAGCCATGAGCGGCGGCTTGGTAAGGGAGCAGGTCGGGGCTGGGTCATGCACGTCAACTCACTGGATTTACAAATGATATTGTGTCATTGATACACTAGGTTGGGTGTTTCAATGTCGATTACCCATGGTAAAAAGTACAGGCCGCTAAACTCCAAGCCTCTGACGGTAAATGGGACCATAATCAGAACGCAACATGCACCCGTTTCGCCATTACTTGACAGGACTTGAGGGAGGGTCAGGATTCGTTACCGCTTTCTTATACTCTCGTATACACTTCCATTTCCAAGTGATGCTTCAGTTTCGGCTTCCAAAATTAGCATTGGAGGCAGAACATATTCCACGCCTGACTCGAAAATCTGGTCTTTTTACGTCAAAAAATGACCGGCGCCAAAGAAGAGACCATCATATTCAGTGGAATTGAGATAAAATGACAATTATGTATAGAGTTGGTTGCTTCGTATGTCATTGTATGGGGTAGTAAGGCATATTCATTTTATTTGTGTCGCATGCGCATTTTCAGCTGTCGTAGTGTGCACCGTATGTGTATGTTTCTTGCCTGAGGATGGAGCCGTTGTTAGCTGTCAAACGCGTCGCGAGCTTATGCAGGAAGTGTAAATAAACATGCATATATATATATACATATACATATATATATATATATATATATATATATATATATATATATATATATATGTATATATATGTATAAGACGCAATAGGTATGTCTCCTGTGCCTCATTACGTCACGCAGCATAACATATTGTTTATCGCGCACGTACCATTTGAATTGTCGAGATTCCCATTTCGTCCGCACCCATGATTTTGACGATAATAATGTGCTAATAAGCACATTTATATTTGCATATGCCAGAACACCGCACATGCCCCAGGTCATGACACGCGGGGATTTTCCCAGTGAGGCAGGCGAGTGACAAGCGGGGCTCATTATTGGATTCTATTGCCGAACAAATAGTTCTAAGAGACGCATCCTTAACTACTTCATCAGCTAGGAAACACCTAATGACGCAATATAAAATATGTCAAAACGAATTGCGCAACATTAATAGCATGACGCCAATAAATGCTTTAAAACTTTGCTAGTGTCCTTCGCTCCTTTGACCATTACCATTTGCGTTGCTATAATGACAGCCCATGCTCTTTACAATGCCGGTCACAGTCGTGAGCATCTCTTCTTCATTGGTCTTCAGGGACTTAAATATCATGCCGCGAACGTTTTTACCCTTTGTAGCTGTCATATTTCTTTCAATTCGTGTTCAATTTCATGCTCGTGGGCCGCACGCGGAAGACACGTTTTGAAGGCGCGCACAAGGTACGCCAGAAGGTTTTGGCGACCTGTTCCCCCAGCACGCCCACCCAAACGGCCTCGCGTGACGCCCGAGCCTGAGAGCCTCCCGTTCTAGCCACCGTGAGTTGTTTTGTTGTAAGCGACAAGTCAGCTCAGCCCGGCCAGTTATTTACAGATAATCAAGATTACAAAGGGCGTCGAGAGAGTTTACACCTGTTGATCTCAGACCTCGGACGCTCCTCTGTCATGGATTGTTCCGAATGCTATCTGGACTCAACGTCGTACAGGACAAGTTCAAGGCAACGGCAAGCATGGCTCATCTGGAGCTATCGCTGCCATCACCGCCACACAAAGCTCCTCACTGGACTGGCCGCTTACGAAAGCAAATATATCTGGCCCCGTATGCGCTGGAATCAGCCGTACCAAGTCCAAGAAGATGGGATTTGAATGTCGGGTGAGTCACCCCCAAATTACTTCGGAACTCTGAAAACTCCAGTCGTACCCATCACCGCCACGATCCACCACACGTCCCAGTCGTACCCATCACCGCCACGATCCACCACACGTCCCAGTCGTACCTATCACCGCCACGACCCACCACACGTCCCAGTCGTACCCATCACCGCCACGATCCACCACACGTCCCAGTCGTACCCATCACCGCCACGATCCACCACACGTCCCAGTCGTACCCATCACCGCCACGATCCACCACACGTCCCAGTCGTACCCATCACCGCCACGACCCACCACACGTCCCATTCGCACCGATCGCCGCGTACATCACCATGCCCACTTACTACACCGCTCTGTACGGGGTCACCCACTCCCCCGCCACACACACACTAGCATACACTGCGAGACGGCCCACGTGCCGTTTTGCTAGCGTGGCTCGGCATCCCAATATGCTAGCGTGAGCCCGAGCCCCACGGAGCCCACTCTGGCAGCGTGAGCCCGAGCCCCGCGGAGCCCACTCTGACAGCGTGAGCCCGAGCCCAGCCGAGCCCACTCTGGCAGCGTGAGTCCGAGCCCAGCCGAGCCCATTCTGACAGCGTATGCCCGAGCCCAGCCGAGCCCGCTCTGACATGAGCCCGGGCCCCGTCGAGCCGGCTCGTGTGACGTCAGTCGGCTGCCGGCCGTGACGTACGTAAATTGCCCATACAAGGGCCGAGTTCATCTCAAATGCCCTCCCCGGGCTCAAAATAAAAATGCGCTCGAAAGGCGAGCAACTCGGCCGAAGAAAGGAATTCTGCTGCCGTATGAGGTGTGCAGCACTCGACACTTGCATCTTCCTGTGACCTCTGGTACATGCAGGTTCTCCACCATGCGAAAATGTTATAATAACAATGATATGAACAATTTGTAAGCGTTTCTTTTCACCTAACACCCACAGGAGATGTGCTAGATTTTCCTGGCGGACTTTCCCTGCGGACTTTCCCGGACTCCATCCCGGTAGACTTTCCCTCGTCCCCTGCGGCAAAGTCGCGCGGGTATGCACATGTGAAATGTCCTACATATGTGAGTGGCACTTGCCACTGACATATGGCGCCAGCAGCGACCTTGACCACTGACCTGTTTGAAGTGGAGCGCAGTCTTGGCCGGCGGTACAGCACGGCCAGGATGAGCGTGTTGGCCACAGTAGCCACCAGGAACACGAGCAGGAAGAGCAGCACTACCACGCCGTCTATCACGGCGTGTAGCGTGTGCGTGTCAAACATGGCGCGCGCCCGCGGCGTCTGCAACAGAGATCGTCCGGAGTCGTCAGCTGATCAGTTGACGTCACTCAGCCGTGACGTCGGCGATCGTGGGCGACCTCCGACGCCGGCAGAGGTTGGACAAGTAGACCGGGTCGGTGACCAGGGGGATGGAACGTATCGGGGAGGCATTTGGACGGTGACCCCGCACGTTTGTAGGCATCGAGGCTAGCAGTCGGACCAGCTTTGCGATATTTGGAGTAGATGACACGAACAGACTGGGGCGTGAGTGACGAGACGTCAGAGGAGGACATCTCTCATGCTGGTCGTTCAGAAGAACTGTTCTGAACTTGGCTCAGATGGGAACAGAAGAAATAAAGAGCATCAAATGTTCAGACGAGTCATCTTAGTTATCATAATCCTCTCGGAAGATGCTGATAGGGAAATGACTTGGCAGTGGCCACCAGTCTGACCTAAAGAGCGAGTCCCAACGGCAACGGCCTCGCCATAACATGACTCAGAAACGGATGTCACAGGTGTGTCAGGAGCTATCCATCATTTCATCTGGATTAATGTCTGTGCTTATTGTGCGACTGTCAAGCTGTGAAAGAACACCCTCCGTCACTCAGTTCCTGGACACCTGGATAAGGTATCACAGAACAAGGTGCTTAGTTTTGTAGCTTGCGCTTAACAGTACCAACTCATTCAAGGAACTATAATAAAGCTGACTGCAAAATATGCATACACATAAATCCTACTATTGTCCACTAGAACGTGATTATCACTGACAAAAATGGAATGGAATGCCATTAAACACGCTTGCAGCGGCTAACGTCAACGTTTGACGCGTAGAAAGTGGCAGCTTCTGGCGGCTTACACCTTACGGAGCTGGGGATACAGGTCTTAACGACAGGCAGCTGGTTCCACAATCTGACATGACGGTGAAGCATGAAATATATGACCATGCGGCTTACGTGTCAACATCCAGCTGTTAATGTTCTGCATGATTTTGGTCATTTGCTTCATCACTGCCGCGTGGACCGATTGATGATATTTGAGTTGTTGATCATTTAGCCGCAGTTTCCCCGCGATTGTGCCCAAAAACCAAAAGAAATCAACGTTAAATTAAATTTTATGCTTCGACCGTTGGTCTTTCTCAGGCATGTAAAAGTGTGACAGCAGACAGCGTAGTACGTGGTTCCAAGCGCTTTTAATATTAGTGGATCATTAGACGATCATTAGGGATCATTTTAGGGAGTAACATGGTGATGTACATTTGTCAAGGATAGATTTTCTGTCTCTGGAAGTGGACATCATCAGCCGTACGTGCTGTCTTCCTGACCGCAAAACTTCAGAGTGGCTTTTTATTCGAGAGGAAAAAGCAGAGTTAAAGAGCATTTCAGCGCCGTGGCTGGTTCTCATGTTTTGTCAGTCCTTTTTGTCATGTCAACGCCACCGGTGTTGTGTTCTCGCCAAGCCAGCGTCCGCTGTGTATGCATGCCTAGAATATTTTTTGATCTCAGCGAAGTCCGAAGGATGTTTTGACACGATTTGCTTCAATTATTCCAAAGCGCTTAAAACCATGTCCAAAGTTGTCTGCCGTGATACCTATGAATGCTTGAGGAAGACCAGTGGTCGAAATATGACTTTATTTCAAATTTGATCCGTGAAACCGCAGTCAAACAATCAACAGTTTAACTGCGCGATTTTCACGTTGATCAACAACCAACAGAGTTTGAATTAAACAACTGTATTCCAATACGCCATCTTTAAGTAGCGAATTTCAGTGACACCGAACATGACAGGAACCAATGCATATCACCAGTGTAAGCAAGGACACGATGTTTAATTCTTCTGAGTTACACACTGTCGTGAGATTCAGTGTTGATTACTTCTGAGTTACACACTCTCGTGGGATTCAATGTTGAATCCTTCTGAGTTACACACTCTCGTGAAATTCAATGTTTAATTCCTCTGAGTTACACACTCTCGTGAGATTCAATGTTTAATCCCTGTGAGTTGCTCGCTCTCTTGAGATTCAATAGTTATTTCTTCTGAGTTGCACACTCTCGTGGGATTCAACGTTTAATCCTTCTGAGTTACACACTCTCGTGAGATTCGATGCTCAATTCTTCTGAGTTACGCACTCTCGTGAGATTCAATGCGTAAGCGTTTCCATGATAAGCGTTCAGATCTTAACCAAGCTGCTACGCAAGGACGCTTCAGTTGTAAAGGCTTGCTCACGCACGTATCAGTGAAAAACAGCTGGCAGGAGAATCTGAATTCCGACATATATTCCTACAGGTGCCCTTTCTTTGTGAACATAGCCCACTAAAAATTGCGGGAAAGAAGTATAAACTGATAATTGGTCGGTTGGTCATGGTCACGTGAACCAACGCCAGGAACAGTCACAACATCATACAGTCCTATGACAACCGAATGACGCAGTCACTCCCCTCGCCGTTATCTTTCAGCACGAGCTGTTTGCAATCACAGTCACCGTACATCTCATCTTCACCGCTGCAGTGGTGACAAATCTGTCCACAATAGACACTCTGCCGGCTTTTCTAAGCGGACTCGTTCGCTGCAGGCGTCCTCATCTCCACCGGAGCTGTTCAGACCGCAACGCTGTGCATTACGGACACGTGCCTCGAAACCGCTCGCGGCGCTCGCCATCTCTGATGATCGAGATGGAGCGTCGGCTGCCGTGCTGTACACGTGTCTGGCAGGGCATCGCCACCGGACGTCCGCGATGTCCGGAACTGGGAAATCCCAAGGCCCGTGACACCATACTATCAACCGCTGTGCTGCAAACGCCACATATTTTTATAGGCCATAGGCATGTGCGCCACCTTTCCCGAGCTTCACACGCGTTTGTCCGGTACCTCGTGTGGAAACCCCAGGATCTCAGCCGGAGGTGGCACCTGCCTCGACCGCACGCGCACCAGCTGCTCCTAATCACTCCAGGAGCGGGCGCCCTCGCCAGGTGGCGCGCGCGGGCCAGGGCGCTGTCTCCGGGCGGTGTCGTACTATGGACAAAGGTTCTCACGAGTATGGCACCTACGCCTGGCCTTGTCTGCCAGCTGGGCGGGAGTTTCTCCTAATGGCCGACGGACTGAGGGGATCTGAGGGACCCGCGGGCAGCTCGCCAGCTGGGCTCACGCCGTGTTCTGTGTCGGAGACTGATTTATGGCTGGTTGCTCAACTAAAGAGCGGCTAAAGATCGTGCCTGCAAACATGACACAAAAATAATGACGGGAATGTGGATGCCCGTGCGTCTCGAAATGAGCCTAAGAATCAGTAACGCACTGCCAATTAACGGCAAGAATCCTAGTTTGAGTGCAAGTGGTAACGTTGCATGCACCGTGTGGGTTCCGGGTGTGCATCCCCCTGGTGACGTCACAGCTGGGATTAGCTGCTGCAGTTCGGCTCTACACAGGATGTAAGCCGCACACGTAAGCCGCAGCGGAGTGGGAGAGGCTCGAATAACCGAGGATCCAACCTCCCACATAACGGTGAGAGAAGTTTTGATAGAGTCGATACGCCTGTACGAGGTTTTCAAAGTTGTCCACATCGAATATCTGTTTGTGAAAAGGAGAACATACATCTGTGAATGCCTAAAACATAAACCGCCGGTGAGAAATATGTGGGTCTTTGCATTAGTCTGCTGGGAATCGCTCATGCACATAACACGAAGCGATATTCTCAGCGGGAGCACAAGATAAGTATAGCATAACACGTAAGGGGATAAATATAGCATCGTAAATAATGCGCTCCAGACCAATTGTCATGACTTAATAACGAAAAGGGGTGGCTGATTGTCAGAGATACACCTGAGTAACATGAGGAGTACTCAAAAGATATTACGGTCAAACCCGTCACTAAGCCAGTTGTAATGCAAGTTCGCACCCGGATTCTGAATTACTGACGGAAAGAATACAATGTTTTTACAGCAGCTCGCAATAACAGCAATTGCAGCTGAAGAGACTACAGCTGGCAGCTTCTTCATTACAATAACAATGGAACCTGCAAATTAAAGTAAAAATAACATGCCGGATACGTCCCTTCGTCTCTGCTGCAGCGCCGACGTTTATTGAGATATCTCTTGCATTGATGAATGTCATGAGCACGAAACATCGTCCTGCGACAATGATTAATTTTATCTGCTATGACAAATAGCATGGAGTCTTTTTAATGATGTGCAGGTTGACGACACGAGGGTTTTGGAAAGCTGGCATTCCGATGTCGGCTTTAGAATGCAATACAAACATTCCCTACGAATCAGGAGCTATATTTACAAGAGGTGGACGATGAGGTGGCTTGACCAGATGTGCACGGTGATTTTTTTCGCGTGGATTGTGTTGCAGTAGGGGTGTAGTAGCTCTGGGGAACAAATCAGCACACACGGCTGTTGAATTGCTGTAAAAAGTGTAAAATACAACTCACATGACATTTCTAGGCGGCCTTGCACCTAACTCTGTTCCGACGGAATGGAATGTGACTCCGACTTGCACTGCATTCGGCTGATTTCGCCTCCGGCATTGAAAACACAGCGTGATTTTCGATTCATTTCTATTCCTACTGATGGAATGGTGGGTTCAGTGGCTCAATGGCAGAATTAACCTAGACGAAGTCCACTCTTGTGGCAACAGATTGGAAAAAAACTTCCTGTGTGCTTACAAAATGCCCGCAAGAAATTAAGGTGCCGATGATTAGACGGCGATGCACACAGTATCCTATTTTCGGCACGCCAAGAACCTGTTGTAATTAAAGCACTTGCTGATACAGTTATTTAGTTGAGCGAGTTCACCAGTCACCAACCAGTACAGCTGAAGCAGTTGGGACTGAGACCCACAACATTTTCAAGACAATCTATTTGCCAGTCACTAGGGGTGTCAGTTTCTAAAATCGGTAGCATGGGGGGGGGGTTGGGGGTGGGGGGTGGGGGGCTTAGCTGATGACGCTGACTTAACCTATTCATAAGACCTGGTTTCTCCCCGGATTTTGGCCACCTTAGTTTGCATCCCCGATGCCTGAATAGG